CTGGCTCTTAGTAAAGTCTGTAACTACTGGGCTGGTTCTTACTGTCTGCAGCATATGCCCTGGGGAAGACCAAGGGGATGGGGCTAAACTCACCCACACAAACAGAGCAACAGAGCCTATGTGGATCTCTGCCTCCAGGTCAGAGTAGGGAGGTGGACAGCACTATTTATAGGAATGCTGGCTACCAGGCTTCCTCTCCACCCTGGAGAGGATCCTATCACAAGGGCCTCTACTCTGAGGAGGGCCAGGCAGGAAGCAACCATCTTGTTTACACAGCACATTTCCTCACAGAGCACTTAGCCTGGAGGGGCACTTAGGATACCTGCTAAAGAGAAACCCCAGATCTGTAGTAAGGTACATTTCCCATGGGCTGAAGGCCTCCCACATTCCCCCACCCAGGTTCTCAAGTAGTGCAGGATGAGAGCACTTACACAGGGCCAAATAGAAGCACATGGCAAGGGAGCCCTCCCCCTCCTGGGCCTCAGCCCCCAGTCTTAGCTGGTGACACATTCACAGTCCAGGATCACCAACCCCCAAATGCCCACCACCAGCAAAGAACATATCAAATCTGGACTCTTCCCAGGAGAGCAAAGGGACAGTTCAGCAACATTCAGTAATATCTCCATGGGACTCCTTCCTGGGGCTATTCCAGCTCCCGAGCTTCTTTTGCCCTTGGAAGGGTCCATGTGGTTCTAGACAGTGCAGAGGCCCTGGCTCAAGCTCAGAGTGGTCAGATTGATCTGGAACAAACTATAATGTGTGTGACCCCCCCCTCACACCCCCCGATTTCCCAGCTCCTGCTCTTGGAGCCTGCTGCGGAGTTGGTCGGCACGTGGTTCAGAGTCACAGGTAATGACTGTGGCATCACAGGTAATACATATTTCCATTTGCTCTGTACTGGAAAAACTTAGCTGTGGGGAGGCAGGGCAAGGTCCAGAAAGTCACAAGCGAGCAGCATTTTTGTACTTTGGCATGGGAGATGTCTGTTAACCTGCAATGGTGATGTCTTTATGTGATGGAATAACATATGAACCCCTAATTGATGAGATCCCCTATTCAAGCACTTGATTAGGAGGGAATCTCAAACTGCAGGGATGGTTACAGTGGAGAACAAAGAAAAAAAATTGTCTTGCTTACTTGTAAGTGGTGTGAAAAATCTTGAGATACTCAGGCAGAATGGGAGAAGTTTTGGGGGAGTGGAAGCTCAGCAGATGAAACCCCACTCTTAGGAGCAGGAAGGCATCCAGAGGCTACTTGGAGTGCTGAGTGCTTCCAGCTGCACTGCTGCTGCCTGCCTCGTGCCCTAATGTGGGTGCCAGGCCAGGCAGGATAGGGGAGTCAGGGCCAGGGCAAGACTGTGGTAAGTGGGGGAGCAGTTCCACCAAAAGGACCTCAACTCAGCTTGGGGAAAGGAGGGCTGGTCTGCAGGCGAAGGAACAGTAAAAGAGGTCTTCTTGGGCAGATTTTGAAGGGTCTGGGGGTGGCAGCCGGGATGTCCAGGGCCATGTGTTCGGTGGAGGAGGGTGTGGATTTAGGAGTCAGATATATACCTGAGTTGCAATTCAAAGCTTCTACTTATTGTCCATGCGGCCTTGGTCAGATTATATAACTTTTTCAGCCTCGATTTTCTCTCCTTATTATTATTTTGAAGCAATATCAAAGTTAGAGAAAAGTTGCAGGTACAGTACAAATTTTTTTCTGAACCTGTGAGAGTAGGTTGCCAACATGATACTCTATTATCCCAATACCTGAATTTATAGTTCACATAAGTGTTTTCCTATAGAACCACAGTATAACCATTAAAATCTAGAAATTATCAGATTCAGTTATTATTTTCATTAAAAAGTGATAGAATATCATGGAATATTTTATTTAATAACTTAAGTTACTTATTTATATAATTATTTAAGTCACGTAGCTTAGCAGCAATATATAAAAATATGTTATACAAAATTGTAATAAAATAACTATGCAATTAACTACCTGGCACTTATCTCTTTCTTCATCCTGGGTCCCCCCACTATCCCTTCTGAAACCTTTAAAAAGAGAATGCTCCAAGTGTACAGAATTGAATAGTGCTTTTCATGTCTCTCTTTTTTCAATTATGGTTTTTCTTTTGTCTGGAGTGTTCTGAATGCCCTTTCACACACACACACACACACACACACGCACACACACCACACACACACACACACACACACACACACACACGAGAGAGAGAGAGAGAGAGAGAGAATGTTGCCCAGGTCTCCCATAATTCACTTTAAATTCTCTATTGTAATATTCCCACAGTCAGAAGCTTATACTCGTTCTACTTGTAACTGAAGACAAAGGGATAAACAAGTCAACTTACTACTTATACATGGATCATGGTCTAATTTCAGGAATCTAGAGGGCAGATTAACAACATGAAGGAAAAGAGAATTGAGCTTGTTATTTTCTGATACATTCAATAAATAAATATATATTACATTAGTGCCTCTCAAATAAATGTCATTTCATTAAAAAAAAAATAACATAATAAATAAATCTATTTCCATTACCTAAAACTGGTAATTTCTTTAAAAATTTACATTATTTATTTTTCTTTTAACTTTCTACCAATGCTCCCTTCTCATCTTTCTCTCTGCCCTTAGCATTTTCAATCCTATCCTGTGTGCCTTCCAAACTCCAGAGTAACACATCCTGTTTTAGGCTTTTTTTTTTTTTTTATTAACCTTTGTTGAAGTATAAATGACATAACACTGAGTAAGTTTAAGATGTAAAACATGTTGACTTAATACACTTACATACGGTGAAAATGATTACCAGAGTGGCATTAGTTAATACCTCCTTCGCCTCAAATAATTACCATTTTTTTTTTTTTGTGGAGAAAACATTAAAGTTCTATTCCTTTAGCAATTTTCAAGTATATAATGCAATGTCATTAACTATAATCACCATGCTGTACATTACATCCTCTGCGCTTATTCATCTTTCAACTGGAAATGTGTACCGTTCAACGAACAGCTCCCTGTCTCTCCCATCCCCCAGACCCTGGTAACCACTACTCTACTCTGTTCCTATGTTTGGGGTTTTTTAGATTCCACATGCAAGTGATATCATACGCTATTTGTATTTCTCTGTCTGACTTATTTCACTTAGCATAATGCCCTCAAGATCCATCCATATTGTTGCAAATGGCAAGAGTGTCTGAATAATATTCCACTGTATATATACCATATCTTGTTTACCCATTCACACATAGACATTTAGGTTGTTTCCATATCTTGTCTATTGTGAATAATGCTCCAGTGAATGCAGAAGTGTAGATATTTGTTCAAGATCCTGTTTTCATTTTCTTACCTGGACTATTAGACTAGCACAGCTGTCCTGGACAGTCCCTTACACCTGGTTCTACTGTCCTTAGCCTATCTTTGGAGTAATATGATCACTCCCTGAAAAAAAAAAAAAATACGACAAGGTCAGGCCTGAATTCAAATATTCTTTCAGAGTTTCCTGTTTCCATCACAAAAAATCAAAATCAAGCCCTGATGTTCACAGGGCTTGGTTACCTGAACCGTCCATGTTACTCCCACCTCATCACCCCTCACTGAAGCCTTCATAGCTTCAATAAATAAATATATATTACATTAGTGCCTCTCAAATAAATGTCATTTCATTAAAAAAATAACATAATAAATAAATCTAAATAATAAGTAAATTATTTACATAATAAATAAATCTTGCTCTTCCTGATTCTATGTTCTGGACATGTTCTTCATAGCAGATGAGATAAGAGAGAGGTGCCCTGAGAAAGCTCATGCGAATTCCAATCCCAGGCGGAGGAGGAAGCAAGAGGAACCAAGCCACTGGATAGAGGAAGCAGGGGCGCCTCGCTCACTCCCTTTCACATCCTCGTTCACTGTGCTCCCGCTGTGGTCCAGCTCTGGGCTTAGAGCTGGGAGGACCATACAGTGACTGGCCCAGAGGCCTGCCCTCAGGTGTGCATGAGAAGAGATGTGAGTGAGTGACTATGGCAGTGGGGACAGTTGACTCTGAGAAAGGAGAGACCCATCCAGCTAAGGAGAAGAGATGTGAGGACAGCATCCGTGATAGCTTCTCAGAGGGGAAAACATGAGCTGGACTTACAATTCAAGAAGGATCTAGTGTGAGTGATGGAAAATGGGCCTTCGGGTGGCAGAAGCAGCCTAAACAAAGGGCCAAAGGAGTGCTCATTCCCTCGACGC